ACCACTTGACGAACTTCCTTCAGTTTTCAAGCGAAACCATATAACAAAGTACGTTTATGTATTCGTTACACGTATTTGTGTGATGGCTTCGAATCACTGGGTCATCGACATCCAAAAATACGGTAAAAAACGATGATCACAATTCGAGCATACTTATTAGATTAATATATTGTTGGATTATTAGACACAATTCGGGTCGGGCCACGTTATGATAAAAATGGGTTCTATGATTTTAACACTCCTTTAACATGTGAAGCTGGGAAGGAGACATCCTTTCCTAAAAGCCTGCATCAGAATATGACAAGTTACCCACTACGGTAAAGTATAAATCCGAGTGTGAACAAAGAAGGCACGTACTGAACTTCGTCAACGAAATGCACCCATTCAGGAATTAAATGGTCACCGGTCGTAGAGAGAGTAGTGTCGTGGTCGTGGTCAGCTGCAGAGCTAAGGGGAATCAGGGTCAACCGGTCCTCGGCAACAGCGGTCGGTTCGTCGACGTCAAAAACATGCCGATTTTGGATGGCGTTGTTGCGTAGCATGACGAAGATGTCTGTCAGACTGCGACTGGTGCCACAATGCTGCTGATGATTGATGACGTAGGTTCCCATGGCCACAAGGTACTAACTACACCTTGATCAACGAATCCAACGAACCGTATCAGACTTCGCAATCGCGGTACGCAAGTAGTAATATTTGATTGACTGTATTGAATACAGTCGTCTGTTACAGTCGAAAAGCGTAATATACCTTGTGTCAGTTGGTTACGATAGATTATCCGTGAGGAAGAACGGGACATAGACCACTGTACAACTGTTGCCAGCAATAGCCACTGTTGCTATCTGTTAACTATATCCGAATATTCTACGAGAAATATGCATTAGTCGCGACAGGAAGATCCAGCTGTTTGAATATGTACTTGAAATCGAGGTTGCTAGAGCAGGACACCGGGTTCTGCTTCGTCCGAACGCTGTTCCCCAGCAGATCGAGTAAGCAGCGCATAAATTTTAACGATTCTTCAACAGTATTTTACTGACGTGTCCCCAGAAAG